AAGTAGGTCAGGTGGACCTTTCTGGTGGGGAAAAAACAACACTGAGCCTCCTGCAAGTTCTGGAAGAAGAGAGTAAGCTCAGGGAGAAGAATTATGATGAAATGTAGAAAACTTGGGACAACAAGGTGTAAAAAAAGCGCCTGCTTTTAGAAAGAACTTCTTGTTCTCCCAGTAGGAACCATGTTGGGTTTGCTATAACTCAAAGTCAGCCAAAATCCAGCCTGGAAACATAAACCTTTCTGCAAAGACACTGAGGCTGGGGAAAAACATAGTTATAAAGCCTTTACTTTCCTTTTCTGCCTAACCTGGCTTATTTGGCTTTCTCTCTTTAAAAAGTTAAACCTATTAGTTTAGTCTAAAAATCCAGGAACTTTCTTTAACGTAAAAATTTTTTGCTCTTCCTTGGGAAACTCACTGTCAGGAAAAAAAAAAAATCTAGATAACTATCATGAGACCCTAAAACAGCACGCAGAGCTGTCTCCTTCCCATATTACCAGGCACCTAGCAGCTGTAAGTGGTGACCCTCTGTCACTACAGACCCTGTCAGGGTACACCTGCTGTAAGGAAGGAGCAGAAGAACAAATCCAAGAACAGAAAAAAAGATAGAGACTGAAGGGAATATGGACCTGCGCAATCGAGGAAGTATAGCTGGATGAAATTAACGTAAGAGGTTTGCCTCCGTATGAAGTCTGGTAAAAAAGACCTGACACACTGAAAAAAAAAAGTCTTTTCTTAACATAAAATTTGAAAATATTTCTTGCTTAGAAATAATTATTTTAGAAACTGAAAAATTTCACCTGAGAACACCAGGAGAGGAGTAAATTTGAGGAAGAAACTTATGAAGCCATTTCAAAAAATACGAAATCCAGTCCAAGTGCTGCTGATTTAAAGTTCTTAGGAAACCATAATCTGAGGTCAAACACTAACAGCATTAGAAGTCAAGACCTGAGAAAAAAAGAAGTGCTAGGAGATTTTTACTAAGATTAATAAAATTATGAAACAATAAGTTAATTAATAAATTAATAAAGAACAGAATTAAAACAGATGGACAGAAACTGATGGCCCTGGTAAGTAAACAGGCAGATTTATGCAACAGGAAAAAGAAAACAGAGTTGAAGGCTAAAAAGAGACAATTGCAAAATACTACGGGAATGAGTTGATGTAAGATAGCATGAAAGGTTACTGAAAATCTTGACAAGGAAATAAACCTTAAGCAGTACACTATGCTTGGACATGGGTTGTTACACTGGAAAACATTTTGCAGAAGCCTGAAGTTAAAGAACTGAAACTACCTACAGAGAAACAAAATATGCATCTATGCACAGTGAACAAAGAAAAAAAGCCCTTTCATGTTGAACATGGACAGATAAAACTCAAATTGTGCAGCGGGAAAAACACTCTTAACTGTGTGTGAACATGAGCTCGTTGCAAAAGAGGTCTTTAAAAAGTGGTCTGCATTGTTTCAAGGAAATCATATCTCTCCTTGGATTAAAACATGGCAGACTCTACAGTTCACTGAAAGAAATGAAGCAACGAAGATTTTAAAAGTAACTAAAGAGAATGCAAAACTACAGAGAAGGCACAGAAATACTGAGCAAAGGACAGGAAGACAAAATTAAAGAAAAATGATAGCAATAAAAAAGTGGCAAAGACATGAGCAGAAAAGAATACTGTGCGTGTGAATGCACTCAAAGGCAATTTAGATCAATGATCGAAGGAGTCCCTTATGCGTTGAATCTTCTCTTACGAGACAGTGAGCAGGTACAGGTTCAAAGTTATTCTCCTTGCTATCCAGAAGCTGAACTATTTCAAAATGCAAGTCTCTAGCATGTAAAATCATGCATAACATTGATATGTATTGGAGCTGGCACTTCGGTAGGAGTGAGAACAGACAATGGACTACAACTTGATTATTATGCATTTAAAAGTTATGTTAGTGAATGTTTAGATTAGCATTTTAAATTTCAAGCTTCAGCTACTTACATTCTACAAGCCTGTAGAAACTAGTACCAGTGTGGCAAAGCTCAGACTTGTTTGGCACTGTAAAATTAGCATCCTCAAAATGAGAATATTGAATAACTTCTCAATATTGAATAATTATCCAGTTGAAGGCTTAAAGGGATTATACAACAGTTTACATTGTATTTTCAGAAACGTTATGCCCACAAAGAGAGCAGTGAAAAAGTACTGCTGATACCCAGTCACCTGAATTAGCTTCTGCAGACACAAGAGTGTGCACCTGATCCTTCTCAGTACAGCTAAATTTGAAATAGCAGGAAAGACAAAATCTTTTCACATTGCTCCTGACTTCCGCACAGAAATTTTATATCACTCGCAGCCTCTTCTAGAAAATGAGACAGAAAAAGAAATGGACAATCAGATCTGACACAGACCAGGCAGGGGAAGAGATGCTGCAGGAAACAGCCAGGAGAGCACTAACCCCCCTGAGGTACCTTGGATGCTGCAAGGCAGGGCAAGCTCACAGGCTGCCTGTGATGCCTTGACATGAGGCTCGGAGTGCCAGTCCCAGCTCACTTACCTACTCTGCTGGTAGCCTTGAGACAGAGTCTCTCATGTGCCTAACCCTTTGCTGAAGGCAAACCCTTCCTCCACCTCCAACTCCTGACTACTCCCCTTGTGTATAGAAAGAGTTTTCTCCAGGGACGCAGGTCAGCACAGCAATCTGGCAGAAAACCTTGCTTTAGCAGGTTTGTTTTCCAGCAGGCCAATGAGCCAGCTCAGTAATCCCAGGCTCACAGAGCCTCCCTTACAGTTAACCTGATTCATTTATTAAAGACCCACCTCACTACTTCCGACAAAAGATACCCCAAGAATATTACACTATACACAACAGTGTATTTTAGCATGGTCCTCATACACTGGCATGTGCCCTATCAGTTTTGTATTCAGACCACATCACTGGGATAACTACAGCAACATCCACATGTACCATGGAAAAAAAGACAGCCTCCTGCCAAAAAGGACATGAGAGTTTAGGAGAAGAAAGAAACCCAAAAACCCCAAAACCACTACAAATCACAGATCTGTTGACTTAAATATCAACTACTCGTTCCATCAGCTGAGAGTTTTTGTAACGGCATCTGCACTGGCCTTTTTTCCTCACTGAAATCTCACATTGGGATACTTCATGGACAAAACTTACACCCCATACAAGAAAATGTGAGCTCTAGTAAGTAAGCAGCATGTATATTTTGGAGAAATTGAGAATACCAATTCACTGCTTATTAGAAACTGGTTTATCCAAGGACTGCCCATCTAAGAGACCTAATAAGGCCATGCATGCGATCTGCTTCTGTTGAAGGGTCATCCTGATCATCTCATGTGACTGCTATATACAGACACATAGACCATGTCTGGTGTCTGGATTTGTGCCATGTCTGAGATATGTGAGTCTTTACTATTATTCTATGCAGGAGAATAAAAATATTTGTTAACTCAAGACTCTCTGATTTACCATTGTGACCTAGTACACTTTCTTCCCAATGGCTATGTACAGAATATAATTACAACCTGTCATAATTTGGGTGTTTTTTTCCCTGCTAGGAAAAATGCAATTTAGCTGCAGCTAAATGTTTTGTGAAAATGAACCAATTTCAATTAAACCTTTGCTAGAATGAATTCTTATTCGCAGAAGGCTTGGATAAGAGATACAGAAGAGCTAGGAAAGTACAGGTATCTGTACTTTCCTAGAGATACAGAAAGTATCTCTCAGATGCAAAATAACAACTGCTGCAAACAGAATGAGCCAAATCTAATAAAACCTGTGCTCCTGAAGAGGCAAAGCAAAGAATCTAGTTCAGCCATTCTCACTCCACGCCTTAAATGTTCAGTAGCAGAAGTGTGAACTCTTTCTTCCTCTGTGAAAACCTAGTCATTTACTGCAACATGAAATAGGTTTCAAACCTTCAGTGTTTCATAAAATGGATTAGCTTTTCCACTTTAATTATAACAGAGCCTTACTTAGATAGTTGGCCAGCTTTTTGTCACCACACAACCAATGTCTTATTTGATAAAAGCTTTCCCACTGTATGCTAATTGGAAAGATGTAGCCCATGCTAAACCTCCTTCAAGTCAGACAACAGAAGAACTGAATACAGTGCAGTTACATTTCTGCTTGCGGTGGCTTCTCTGATATTTATTTGAAGAAATGACTGCTCAAGGCATAGCAATGAACTTTTTAGATGAGCAAAGGAGCCCCAGCAAGGATACACAGGATGGTGAATCAACCAGGTGTGACAGACATCTATTCCAATGAGCTAACATGTAACATGTATTATGTGTGATATACGTCATGTATTTATATAGCCATTCCTTTTTACGATGCAATGGTCCAGTTTAGTACTGCTCAAACTCTGCTGTTTAGACATAGCCACCAGGTCAGATAAAAATCTGCCTGGCATCAATCCACTGCTGGCATGACTGTAGCTAAAGCATGGTTTTGTCTCAAGGTAGGAACACCAGCCCGGAAATGCCAGCATAGCCAGTAATTTCTATTAACTCTTGCTCTTTGCACAATTATAGTAAATTCTAATTCTTAACACAAGTATGTTTACAAAAGAAAACTGAATTTAAATCAATGGTTTCCCAAACGCCGTGTGTTTAAGTGTTTATGTGTAACTTTTTGGTTGACTTTTCTTTTTCTGAAAACTACTGCATTATGGTAATGGCTGTAATGTTCATGCTATTAAAAGGATCTACTAAAAGGTTCAAATGTTTAGTATGATAATAACTGTAACAGCGTATCTTGACAGAAAGAGTAGAAAAAATAATTTCAATTCTTTTTGGAGGTCACAGCACTGCTGGGCAAACAGTCTAGTCTAATATTGGTGCTGGGGAGGGAGGCTGAACAAAACAATGGAAAGAACCATCTGCAAGAAGGCTTATTTAAATGGGAAAACGATCGCGCCCTTTCGCTGGGGGGACATGAACAAACTTTCGCGTTCCCGCTTTACTGCCAGGCCATACGCACTGCGAATTACCTGACTGATCACAGAGTATTCGAGGCTGTGAAATCCACGCGGTTGCGCTCTCGGAATGGCACAGGACGCAGCTCCGTGTGTAACTCCTCGCGGAGCCGGCTCAGTGCGCTGTAGCCCAGGCAATCGGTGCTCACGGCGCTACTCGCCCTGTCAGTTCCTGGCCTGTTTCAATGCACTGACACACACGGGTATGTGGAGAGACGCTCACGCACTTCCTCAAACGACGCTAAAAGGCGCTGCTTAATTGTTCTTTCTCGGGGGGGGGGGGGGGGGGGGGGGGGGGGGGACGGCATCAGTCATAGAAATAAATACGGCAGCAGCATTCCCGAACCCCTGCTCGCTGTGGGTGCACCCGGATCGACAAGTGGCGGTAGCGCCCTGCGCCCCCACAGGCCGCCTTCCGCTGCCTGTGCACCGCTCAACCTCGGCCACTCCGTTACGAAGCCACATTTGCACACCCGTATCTGGAGGGCAGTGCCGGCAGCACATCCCCTTTCTTGGGCAGGGTGTCCAACAGCTTTAAACGGACAGAGGGTAGATTTATGTTAGCTGTTAGAAAGAGGTTCTTCACTCTGAGGGTGGTGAGACACTGGCACAGATTGTGCTGAGAAGCTGTGGCTTCCCCATGCCTTGAAGTGTTCAAGGCCAGCTTGAGCAGGGCTTGGAGCAACCTGGTCTAGTGGAAGGTGTCCCTGCTTATGGTAGGGGGTTGGAACTGGATGAGTTCACTTCAGACCAGCCCACTCTATGATTCTGTGATCTGTGACCACCCCTTTCAACCTAAAACAACGAGGTTTAGGAAAATACGTAGCCTATGTGAGACCACTGTGTTCTCACCACAGAGCAAGACGTTTCATTCTTTTTTCTGCATCAGGATGGTGTTCCTGAATGGCGTTTCCCATGTCAGGGTGCTGCTCTGCTCTGATGAGAAGCAGTAATCATCAAGCGACGCATGTGCTGCATCCTGGTTGAAGGAGCAGAAGTGTCTGCAAAGGTGACAGTTGTAGCATACATCTGGGGAACAGGTGAGGAGAGTCATACACAAAATACAAATAAAACATCATGATAGGTTCATTTTAAGCTAAGCCTAACCTAAGGCCCATATGGTTTAGCATTCTGTTTCAGGATAGACCAAAGCAAAATACCCAGAGAACACAAAAATGAAACAATTACACATCAATATCTACCGAAAATGTGAATGCATGTTTGTAGATTGGGTTATACATGTGTTCCCCCTCTGTCCCCCCCTCTCCCACATTGTCTAGTGAAAGATGTCCCTCCCATGGCAGGGAGTTGGTCTAGATGATCTTCAAAGATCCTTTCCAACACAAACCGTGCTGTGATTCTGTGATTGTTTGGAACCAGGTGCCTATTGACTTGAATTTTATGTTCCCGTGCCACAACAATGGCAAGCAATCAATTTTACTCATCTTCTCCCAGCAACTCATCAGCCTGCAGGTCTCTGCTGTGTTCCAGCAGCTCTTTCACTGTATATTTTCCATAAAGAAGAAAAGTTGCTCTTTCACACCATCTGTTGGAGTTCCACAAATAATCAGGAGTCTAGACGTGACCTTTAATAGCAACAGCCTAATGAGCAACATACTTCCCCAAAGTGGGTCAAAGTTCCTCAGTACTTTCCTGACAGGATCTTAAGCTTTAGCCAAGATAAAGCACACAGATACATTGAAAAGAAGTACAGTGAATACAAGTGTGTATTTAAGAAAATTAAGGGGAGGTTGGATGAGGTTCTGAGGAATCTGCTCTAGTGGAAGGTGTCCCTGCCCATGGCAGGGGTCTTGGAACTGGATGAGCTTTAAGGTCCCTTCTAACCCAAACCATTTTGTGATTCTATGATCTTGGCAAGTATTAATAGAGGCTGAAATTCCGTGATGCAAAAAAAGTCTGTTCCAGTCAAAGTATGTCATCAGAAATGACTGAAGAAGTTAAAACATTGTTGTAAGATGTTTTTCTTGATGTTGTGGTAGTAATGAGCAAGTGTTTAAACCTAGTTTCTCAGGGGTATGTAGATTTCCAGCTTTCTCCAATATTGGTAGGATTTAGGAATCTGAGTATGTTTATAAACGTTTATTTATATATATAAAATAAGCCCTTAATTAATATTCTGAGAACTTAAAGGCTCTCTTGCCTGCTATTTAGCAACACTCTCTCACTTCCCTGTAAACAGAAAGAGACAGTGACCTTATACAATAGTTTATTTTACCTTTGGGACATAAAAAACCTTTTGCTTAACGGAGTTACAAAGCCGTCAAAAGATCTAAAATGATTGGCAAAGATATCAATGTTTTTTCTGTCCCTATTGAGTGATAACAAGGCATCAAAATGAGAGTAAAATGGCAATGGTAATGGAAATTAAATGCCAGCCAGAGCATTTTTTAGGGTACATTGTTATTCAGCCTGAGTAGGAATTAAAAAAGAATGTGCTGCCTTTCCTAAACTTATTAACCACAATGTGTTTACAGAGTAAGAAAGTCATGCAAGGAATTATTCTCTCTGTGACCAAATAGATCATCTGTCAGCGTCTTCCTTCCTTGCTAGCTCTAGCGCAGGCCACTGAAATCACAAGATTCAAAAACGTATCTCTAGGGTGTCAAGGCAATATAATTGCAACCAAGCACAGCTCAGTGTTTGTCCTTTCTGCATATGGATGTACCAATCATCTGGTAACTCAACTCGCAGCCTGCTCCAAAACAAGCATGAACTGCATTGTAGATTATGATTTCATGAGATACCAGGTTCACCAAACTGTAATACTAAAAACCCGTGAAGAGCTGGTATTAAAATACTGGAATATTCTAATGTGTAAGGCTTTGTGAGCAAAGAACGTTATATTCTTAATACAACATAGATGGGTTGTTCACAAAAATAAGTATCTCATTACTTTGAAATGCTGAACGCTTTGATCACAAACCTGTCACAGAAACGGTTTCAGAAAAAGAGACAGTGGTAGCAGCAGGCAGCTGTAACTCTCCAGCACTGAATTCCATTCAGGGATGGAAAAAACATCATTTAATACCTATTTCTCTAAGGTATGCAAAACATAAAAAATGAAGCTAACAATAATGGTAATAAAATGCACAAGAACTTACAATACTATAAATTAGAGCTTTAGATAAATGTTATCTGAGTGACCACTCAAAGAGTAATGACTCTCAACATTATTTCTAAGCAATACACAGTTAAAGTACTGACCCAAGTGACCTCATTCTTGCCTACTACAGTGTACAAAACTTTTTGTGGAGGATCCAAACCCAAATTCCTCACACAGGCCCCTAGAACACTAAAACTCTCTTTCTCAAGAGATTACTCAGATCATGATGTATGACAAAACAGGTATGGATTTATGTCTAAGCTTCTCTTCAAACTGTGGGCTGTCAATCACTGAAAGAAAAAGGAAGGGAGGGAGGGAGATGGAGGGAAGGGGAAAAAAGGCATGCACATTCTCACACACAAAGGAGCTAAAAGGCAGTCCTTGTGATGGATACATAAGACACTGCTGCCTGAAATCAAATCCCCAAATTCATCTTCCCCCGTTTCATCTATCTTTCATTTACGTACTGTTTGTCATATTCTGGTTTCCCATCTGGTGACAGTTGTGTACATCTAATGAATCCTCCAAAACTTTGAACTTTATCTTTCTTTGGTTCCTTAGTTCATTAACCATTAACTTCTGAAAAGCTTCTCTCAAAAGCAGTTGCTTAGGTGACAACTTTCCACTTTGCAGGTGCAAGGCAGGTATTACTGCTACTCTCCATGTTGCTTACCCTGTTCTAAACCCCATCTTTATAGCTTTCAGTGTACAGTAATAGGCATACACTACACAGAACAATGTTCACAAATGAAACCGTTGCTCAGTATGCTGCATCCCATACATTTACTTATGGCAATAAATCTAATCACATTACTTCAGGTATGGCAGATTTATACCTACTTCCTATCAGTCAATGCACTGACTTTAAAATTTTGTTCTGAGTTTTTCATTACCTGTCTGAAATGTCCCTTTCATACCTATCAGAACTGGTCTCCCTTTATACATACCCTAAGTCCTTACTTTCTAATAATAAATCTCAAATTCCTTAGCACCCTTGCCATGTCTCTCATGCATGGGTAGCAGAGCATTCACCTGTTATGCCCCTGAGCTGTGGAATTCCCTGAAGTCTCATCTCCAAATCCCCTGAGCTTTCTAATCCCTCTTTGATTTGCACTTACTAAAAATTACTTTTAATATTTGATCTGCTACTGACGCATGCTGTAGGCATCCCTGACCTAAGAATACTTCTATTTTCTTATTCTTCTGATATTTTCTAAATATGCATTGCAAGACTTGCCTTTTTCTGTCTTTCATTTCTGGGCTTAAGCATCAGTTCATCTGCTTAGGCTATGGTGTCCAGACACCAACTCTGAGAAAAAAAAGTAAAAATTCCTATTGTTACAATATATCATGAATAAAACACAGAGTACTGAGTAAGCACATCATAAATCTCCTGATTTGTAAGCACTTTAGAAAACCTTAGCTAATTAAAACTTGATATCCTTATGGCCTAATTGGGCACTACGCTCAAGGAAACTGAAACAGAGAGTCAAAAACCACACCAGAGCATTAGTGAGGAGACTCAGGTGTTCCAGTATCCAAACCCTGGACTGGGACAAGGTCTCTTTCCCAGCAATGGTGACGTCTGTGTCTCTGTCACCTACATTTGGTCTGTGTTTTACCACTTTGGGAATGACACGCTGTATGGCAGGAGCTCACGTGTTACTTGAGCACTCTGAGATGAGACACAAGCAGCTATGAAGCATATTAGGACTGTAACTCCTGAAGGCAGGTGCAATCTTGACTCAGGATCTGTATCCAAGTGATCTGAGCTTCATTATGCTTCATCTCATCCCATCAGGGTGAAATAAGTGATAGTTTCGAAAACTCAGTGCAAGCAGGAGGTGAAAAGAAAACACATTGTACTTTTGTTTGGGTTTTCTTAATCCTTTCGGGTATGTCTGATCCCATATAGTATACATACATATATATGTATTATCTATCTCTATATATAAATTGGAACAAATTTGTGCGGTATCAGAAAAGGCTAAAAGCCTATTTAAGAATTACTTGGAGAAGGCAGTTAGTGGG